AATAGGAAAAGAAAGCACACGCCCTTTATCAAGTCCAAAGACAAGGTGGGAATTGAACTTCATCCTAAAATTTGGTCTGTATCCCCCCACCTCTTTCTGCTACCAGAAGTCTGTAGTAACTCCTATATTTTGCCGTTTATATTACACTATGCTGGTTTGGGTCGCTCCTTTTTCATAGTTGCAACTGCACCCATTACACATGCAGCTGTGGGGGAACCTCTCCCCAAAAACCACTAGCACCTCAATCCCCCTGTTTGCAGGACGCTACAGTTGTGCACCCCCTAGCGGCTGCTCTGGGCTGTTTAAATCGCACACATGCTCAGTTTCTCTATACAAGCTGAGCCGCTACAGCTAGAGTAGCGCTCTGAGCAGGCTCACAGTTTGAATGGCTTTAAGTGGCCACTAGGGTGTGCACAATTGTAGCACCATGCTCTTCCTGCAAACAGAAGGACAGAAGGGGATTGAGGGGTCAAAGCTGCATGTGTAATAGGAGCAGGTGCAGCATTCGAAAAAGAAGGAGCGTTAACCTGTACTATTTAGGGGATAAAGAATTGCATAGGGGGCTTTATGGAAAATGTTGCGAAAAGGTGAAATTACATTAAACTTTATGATAATAAAAGATGTTCTAGTGAGCGCAACTTAGATGAAAAAGTGTGTAGGTTTATATATACAACAATGTTACTGAGCAGCTGATACACCGAAAAGGTAACCAAATGAAAACCTCCAATCAGACATAAATATTAAATAAAATGGTGCAGCGCTAAATAATAAAGCACAGTTTATACACACAATATGTGCACATGCATGATATCACTCTGATGGTGATCCATAGATACAAAAGTTCAATATAATAGTGCGGATCGTGGAGAGATCCTAATTCAAGGTGAGTGGACGTCCTGATCCAAGGTGTGATGATAAGTGTGAACCACACAAAAAATAGGTGAAAAACGCACTCACCAGATGTGCGTTTAATATACGCAATATGTAATCCTGCGTCACCAGGCCATAGAACGATCATCAGATCCCAGATCAGATTGTACCCAGATCACCATCCCGGCTCCACAGAAGTAAGGTCATCCGAAACCGCTACCAGGTGTTACCACCAGGATCCTGAGTCCTCCAAATGGGCACTGCGAATGATAGCACTCACACAGAGTGCCCAATAAGAGACCTCATAGCGTGATACTGCTTTAAAACCTTTATTCAGGGTTGGTAGGTGTGGGGTACATAAAAATTTCAACCAAAAAGTTTACTGACCATATGCATTTCAAGGTGGTTAGGTGTCCTGCTGTTGTTGCTGCCCCCCTGACGCGTTTCGTGCGATGCACGTATTCATAGGGTTCAGGGCCAGCAAGGACATCCTCTTCTGTGCTATTTATAAATGTGAATGGCAATTCTGCCTAATACGGCCGCCATTTTCTCGACTGTCCGCGCATGCGCAGACCGTCGGCGTCTTCTTCCCACGCTACTGCGCATGCGCGAACGATCGGCGCCATTTTGTCGTGGATCTCAGATGCGATCCACAGCAGGAAGTCCCCTGCAGTGCGGCGCCATTTTGTTGGCAGTACAAAGGAATACAGGAGCAGTATTAACTGTTCCAAGATTTATTCAGCCAAAAGCTTTAAAATAGCGCCCCTGTGCAAACTGGGGGAGAAATTACTCATATTACCAGGGTTCTAATTAGGTGCACAGGGAATTATTCCAAAGATAATTGTATATTTAAAAAGCATGGAGGTTACTCAAAATTGTGTATATGTATATATATAAAATTTGTATAATTATAAAATTTGTATAATGATACAAAATCCATCCTGTTTTGCTTAGAATCAAAACCAGGTTAGGGATTAAAACCAACATAAAATATTCTCCATGGGTATGTAGATATAAATAGCACTCCAAATATATGGTCAGATAAAATGCAATATATGTGTGCAATTGGAATTAACAGATAATGTATATAAATATATATAAAAAACATATGGTCATAAACTCCAATAAAATGCAAAATCTCATGATTACATAATAAAACACATAATTAAAATAATGTGATATTGAATCAATATATCACAATAATAAATTCCATTTGAAAACACCTTAAAAAACGATGACGGGAAATGGGGAGAAAACTCCATTAAAAGGTGATAACAGGAAAACGGCCCAATATTGTATATTGATAACATATATATAAAATTATATTCATAATGGTTTGGTGTTTAATCTTAAAATGTTTTAAAATATTCAAGTAAAGATCTAAATATATCTGTAAGGACCCGAAAAAAACATGGTTTTTTAAGGTGTTTTCAAATGGAATTTTATTGTGATATATTGATTCAATATCACATTATTTTAATTATGTGTTTTATTATGTAATCATGAGATTTTGCATTTTATTGGAGTTTATGACCATATGTTTTTTATATATATTTATATACATTATCTGTTAATTCCAATTGCACACATATATTGCATTTTATCTGACCATATATTTGGAGTGCTATTTATATCTACATACCCATGGAGAATATTTATGTTGGTTTTAAAATCCCTAACCTGGTTTTGATTCTAAGCAAAACAGGATGGATTTTGTATCATTATACAAATTTTATAATTATACAAATTTTATATATATACAATATACACAATTTTGAGTAACCTCCATGCTTTTTAAATATACAATTATCTTTGGAATAATTCCCTGTGCACCTAATTAGAACCCTGGTAATATGAGTAATTTCTCCCCCAGTTTGCACAGGGGCGCTATTTTAAAGCTTTTGGCTGAATAAATCTTGGAACAGTTAATACTGCTCCTGTATTCCTTTGTACTGCCAACAAAATGGCGCCGCACTGCAGGGGACTTCCTGCTGTGGATCGCATCTGAGATCCACGACAAAATGGCGCCGATCGTTCGCGCATGCGCAGTAGCGTGGGAAGAAGACGCCGACGGTCTGCGCATGCGCGGACAGTCGAGAAAATGGCGGCCGTATTAGGCAGAATTGCCATTCACATTTATAAATAGCACAGAAGAGGATGTCCTTGCTGGCCCTGAACCCTATGAATACGTGCATCGCACGAAACGCGTCAGGGGGGCAGCAACAACAGCAGGACACCTAACCACCTTGAAATGCATATGGTCAGTAAACTTTTTGGTTGAAATTTTTATGTACCCCACACCTACCAACCCTGAATAAAGGTTTTAAAGCAGTATCACGCTATGAGGTCTCTTATTGGGCACTTTGTGTGAGTGCTATCATTCGCAGTGCCCATTTGGAGGACTCAGGATCCTGGTGGTAACACCTGGTAGCGGTTTCGGATGACCTTACTTCTGTGGAGCCGGGATGGTGATCTGGGTACGATCTGATCTGGGATCTGATGATCGTTCTATGGCCTGGTGACGCAGGATTACATATTGCGTATATTAAACGCACATCTGATGAGTGCGTTTTTCACCTATTTTGTGTGGTTCACACTTATCATCACACCTTGGATCAGGACGTCCACTCACCTTGAATTAGGATCTCTCCACGATCCGCACTATTATATTTGAACTTTTGTATCTATGGATCACCATCAGAGTGATATCATGCATGTGCACATATTGTGTGTATAAACTGTGCTTTATTATTTAGCGCTGCACCATTTTATTTAATACATTAAACTTTATGCTGTCTCGCTTAGTTCCTCGTGGTTCTGATTTCTTTGTGCTTTTTGTACAACAGAGTATAGTATATTTTTGTATGGCTTTATGCTACCTTTTTCATGTTGAAAATCAAATACACATCAATTGATATTTAACTATTTTGGCATGCTGACTTTTTCATTATATATACACTGCATATAAGAATGGAAACAGGAGGCTGGGACAAAACAGAAATGAGATTACACTGCACCTTACCAAACCATTTGTATTTATATAAAAGTAGACTGAGGGTCATTAACCACTTGCCTGCTGGGCACTTATACCCCCTTTGTGCCCAGGCCAATTTTCAGCTTTCAGAGCTGTCGCACTTTGAATGACAATTGTGCGGTCATGAAACATTGTACCCATATGACATTATTATTTTTTCACACACATAGTGCTTTCTTTTGGTGTTATTTAATCGCCACTGGTCTTTTTAATTTTTGCACTATAAACAAAAAAGAGCAAATTTGAAAAAAATAAAAGTTTTTCTTTGTTTCGATTATAAAATTTTACAAACCGGTAATTTTTCTCCTTCACTGATGTGCATTGATGAGGCTGCACTGATAAGGTTGCATGGATAGGCAGCACTGATGAGGCGGCACCGATGCTGCTGCACTGATATGCAGCAATGATGGTCACTGATAAGTGGCATCGATGGATGACACTGACAGCCCTGACTGACGGCACTGATAATCAGGGCCTTTTACCTCATCACGTGACCAGCTGTGTCAGTAGGACACATGACGCCCTGACGCCCTCCCATAAACCAGCAACTGTATTTGTTCCGTGACCTGCTGTGTCATTGGACACAGCTGACCACGTAGTAAAAGGCTGCTGTGATTGGCCTTTTACCTCATCACGTGAACAGCTGTGTCAGTAGGACATACGAGACCCTCCCAGAACTGGGTAATCGCGCTGTAGTCATCATTCGGCTATAAGCGTGGTTACCAAGTGGTTAACTAGTTGCCGACCGCAAATAGCCGAATGACGGCTAAACTGCGGCCGGCCAGTTCCGAGTGGACGTCATATGACGTCCTCCCAGAACGCGCGCTCTCCTGCGCACCCCAGGGGGCACGCACCCGGCGATCTCCGTGATCGCTGTGTCCTACGGACACAGCTGATCACGTGATGTGGTAAAAGGCCAATCATACTGGCCTTTTACCACGTGATCAGCGGTGTCCAATGACACGCTGATCACAGGGAAATGCAAGTGCCGGTTCTCGGCTGCACTTTCCTCACGCTGTCAGATCGTGAGGAAAGTACTGCCGAGAACCGGCAGTTGTCAGAGCGGGGATCGGCACCGATCATCAGGGCACTGATGATCAGTGCTCTGATGATCGGTGCCCAGCAATGCCACCCGCAAGTTCCGCCCACCTGTGCCCAGCAGTGCGCCCTACTAGCTCCGCCCACCTGTGCCCAGCAGATCACCCACCTGTGCCCAGCAGTGCCCCCACCTGTGCCACTCTGCAGTGTCACACACCTGTGCCCACCAGTGCCACCCACCAGTGCCCGCCAGTGCAGTGCCGCCCGCCAGTGCCGCCCGCCAGTGCCGCCCGCCAGTGCCGCCCGCCAGTGCCGCCCGTCAGTGCCGCCCGTCAGTGCCGCCCGTCAGTGCCGCCCGTCAGTGCCGCCCGTCAGTGCCGCCCGTCCGTCAGTGCCGCCCGTCAGTGCCGCCCGTCAGTGCCGCCCGTCAGTGCCGCCCGTCAGTGCCCAGCAGTGATGCCAGTCAGTGCCGTCTATCAGTACCCATCATCAGTGTCACCTATCAGTGCCGCCTATCAGTGCTGCATATTAGTGCCACCTATCCGTGACACCTCATTAGTGCTGTCTATCAGTGCCGCCTATCCGTGCCACCTCATTAGTACTGCCTATCAGTGCCCTTTAGTGCTGCCTATCAGTGCCGCCTATCAGTGCTGCCTCATCAACGCACATCAGTGAAGGAGAAAAAAAATACCTGTTTGAAAAATTTTATAATAGAAACAAAGAAACTTTTTTTTTTTCAAATTTTTTGCACTTTTTTAATTTATAGCGCAAAAAGTAAAGCGCCCAGTGGCGATTAAATACCACCAAAAGAAAGCTCTATTTGTGAGAAAAAAATGATCAAAATTTCATATGGGTACAACGTTGCATGACCGCGCAATTGTCAAAGTGCGGCAGCGCTGAAAGCTGAAAATTGGCCTGGTAAATAAGGGGGTATAAGTGCCTGGTAGGCAAGTGGTTAAGCAATCAGACAAACCAAAAGGACCAACCGCCCTTTATCTTTTTTTTTCACTTCCAGTATGTATGCAACAGCTACAGTATCTCACAGAAGTAAGTACACCCCTCACATTTTTGTAAATATCTTATTATATCTTTTCATGCGACAACACATGACCCCAAACACACCTCCAAGACGACCACTGCCTTTGCTAAAGAAAAGGTGATGGACTGGCCAAGAATTGTATCCAGACCTAAACCCTATTGAGCATCTGTGGGGCATCCTCAAACGGAAGGTGGAGGAGCTCAAGGTCTCTAACATCCACCAGCTCCGTGATGTCATCATCGAGGAGTGGAAGAGTACTCCAGTGGCAACCTGTGAAGCTCTAGTGAACTCCATGCCCAAGGAGATTAAGGCAGTGCTGGAAAATAATGGTGTCCGCACAAAATATTGACACTTTGGTCCCAATTTGGACATTTTCATTTAGGGGTGTACTCTTTTGTTGCCAGCAGGTTTAGACATTAATGGCTGTGTGTTGAGTTATTTTGAGGGGACAGCACATTTACACTGTTATACAAGCTGTACACTCACTATTTTACATTGTAGCAAAGTATAATTTCTTCAGTGTTGTCACATGAAATAAAATATTTACAAAAATGTGAGGGGTGTACTCACTTCCATGCGATACTGTATGTTTTGCTGCAAATGTTAAACTAATTTTCCAGGCTGTGATGGTAAACTTAATTTCGTCAAAAAGATGACACCAAACTATGCAGTGGAATAATGTCCAGGATGATTCCAGCTTACAAGGCAATCTCAATGCACTGTTTAATTGGGCAACTGTGTGGCAAATAAGATTTAATGTTGAGACATGTAAAGTTATGCACTTGGAAGCTAAAAACATGCATGCACCATAGACACTAGGAGAACAACTAGGAGAGTTAATGGTGGAGAAGGATCTGAGTGTTCTGGTAGATCAGAAGCTCAATATAGCATGCAATGCCAAGCTGTAGTTTCCAAAGCAAGCAAAATCCTCTCTTGTATTAAAGTGATTCTAAAGGCTTTTTTTTTTCTTTAACTAAAAACCTAATAAACTTACCTGGTGTGTGCAGAGAAGCCCCGATCCTCCTCTTCTAGGGACTCCTGCCAGCGCTTTGGGCCCCTCCCTTCTGTCAGTTGCCAACACAGCAAGCAACTTGCTATGGGGGCACCCGCTGCTCTGTGTGTCCATTCATACACAGAGCCGTGGCTCGGCCCTGCCTCCTCTCTCTTCTCATGTATATACCCATGATATGGGAACAAGGCGTTTTTTTATGCTTTTTAAATGTGAGTGGGCAATTGGCTTTGGGTGTTTTGTATTAATAAAGGCAAGATAACACTATGGAGCATTTTTCTTGTTTTCATTATATCCTGCTATGATCACCCATATCTGAGTATCCCTGAGTCTGGAGAAGGTCCAGAAGCGCTAAGGTCAGGGTCTTAAGTGTTCCGGTCCTGAGGAGAGTCATCTGGAGTACACCTGGGTTACCCACACAGTGTTTTGGCCCTAAGGGTCTAAGTTAGGAGGTGAGGAGCCAATTTGGCCATTTATGGATCTTTTTGCACACCGTGTGGCACTGTGATCACCCCACGTGGCTTGCTGTGTTCACTGTAGTGACCACCGAGTTTGGAATCGACATATTATGGACTTTCACACAGCATGAACTGTTCTATATGAGCACTTGCACATCAATAATATATGTCACCATCTATTCCCCTTTCATGGGGACTTGTTATGTATGTGTGTTAGTTGTTCAGGTTATATTGTCCTTATGGTCTCTAGCCATTCACTGATTAGCATTGTATTATGCATGTTCCTTAGTCTACATTAGCGCTTCACTATTTTACTTTTGTTGTTTTACAAAAGAAACAATGCTTTTTTTTAATTTTACATACATTTCATTTTTTTCATAATGCATCAGTAATTTAAAAGTTCTTCCCGATTTAAAATATAAAAGATATACCCTATAGAAACATGGATCAGCAGATTAAACTGTTCAATAGTGCTTATACAGGGTAATCTACTGAAATGAATGGATTAATTAGTAACAAATGGTTAAATAAGGGCATATCCTCTCACACACATAGCTGTCAGGGAACCGAGGAGATGGACAACTAGCGTGTTATTTTTGTTATGGTTTACAAATATTACACTGAATGATCACTGTGATTGGCTATCGTTCAATAAGAAAGGCTTCTGACTGGCTTCCAATCGTAGGAGTGGGAGCATATCTATCTACAGACACCAAGTCTCATGGGGCTGTGCATGGTTGGGAGCAGGGGAGAGGAGAAACCGTAGGCAGTCTCCTGGATGTACAGGAGATGCATTGTGTACAGAGGGGAGGAGATTTTATGGACATGTGTAACACGGCAAAGGTAGGCAATTGGTTAAGTAGTTACAGCTGAACTTAACCAAAAAGGGGAAGTTCCGCTTGTTTGCATCCTCCCCCGCTCCTCCTTAACAATTGGCACATTTTGGGGGGGGGGGGTTTATCTGGTCTTTGCCCGCCCCCCCATCCCAGCCTTCTGGGACACATCAAAGGTCATAGAAGACCTCAGGACCAGTCACAAATGCGCAATAGGAGAGAAGTGAAGAATTGGCTCTGGTGAGGACAGCGCTGGATACCTGGACAGGAAAATTTCCTTGCATTAGAAGTGAGCAGATACAGTATTTGTAGCTGCCCACTTAATTTTTTGGAGGGAGACTGAAGCTACTCTTTAAGGATCTATGGCTAGTAATGAATAAGAGCTGGTTCAAACTAGTGCGACTTCTGATGCGACTAGAGTGACAAGGGAAATCACATTATAATAAATGCCCAATCAAATCAATGCCACAGTGTTATTTTTTTAAAAGATTCCTGGGCTAATTTGGTGTGATTTACAGTGTGAATTGGCCCCACAGAATATCCAAAAATGCCACACTACATAATTGCACTGAAAATCACAGCAATATCGCATTGCAGTAGTGTGAACCAAGCCCTAATCAGAATCTACAATTAGTTGGTTTGGTGTGAAATTCCAAAAGTCTATTGAGCTTTGTAAAAAAATAAAGAAAGCAGAAAGAGAAGGCACACTGTGGCAAGTTGCATATAATTAAAAGTGTTTCATACCTGACATTAGGATCTCCACCCTTCTGCAAAATCATTGTCAGACATCTGAGCGCACTCTCACTTTCCTTCCCTGAGGCTAGATGAATGGCTGCAATTCCATCCGGTAGGACTAGGTTTGGATCAGCACCACAATTGAGAAGATTTTCAACTTCCCTGGGGGTAAATAAAAACACTAATGATCATATATTCTACTTGGAGAAAGCAATACACTCAAATACTAAACAACCCATACAAAAAACAATCATAATTTTACTTTTTTGGTAGTAAAAAAAAAAAATAAATTTGTTTTCAAAATATGGGCAATTGAAAGCAATGAAAATGCATCAAAACCCATGTCAATGTTCAGTATAAAATGTTTCTGTAGCTTCTCCGATTTCACAAAGTAAAGGAGATAGTCTAGGTAAGGAATCACAGCTATTTACCTATTCACAGAGGTGCTAAAGCTTCTGCCATTACCATTGTGAAGGTCCGAGGTGCTCATGACAGGCCAAATGGTAGGGCTCTGAATTGTAGATGCAAGATCTGATCTCCCAATCTTAATGCTAGTCCCAGAAATTTCTGGAATTTTTTTCTCATTGGATCGTTTTGTTCACTGGTCTTAGGCAGAGAACATGGTAGAACTTTCCCGAAGGCTTCCTCACCAGAAAACCAGTGGAGTAGAATCCCTGTTGCACTTCTTCTAGCAGTACCTGTATAACCACCCTCTGGACTATCAGTTCATGGATCAGGTTCTTCATTGCCAGACACTTGACTGGGTTTTTTGAATATCAATCACTAAATAGCTTTTCGAAGGGGATTCCACAAATTCTATTTTGCAACCTTGGGAGACAATACCCAGAATGTACTGACTGGGGGTGATGTCTTCCTACTGCGGAAGGAACCCTTGCAAACTCCCTACCACTGGGAGAGAAGATTCACTGGGACTTCTCGGGCTGTGCAGGTGGAGGAGAAAAGGGCACCCCCTTTAATCCTGGGCTTTTCAGCCATAAAGCTTTTTATAAGCAATGCCGATCTGGCCGATATCTGGATGGATTCAGCTTAGGGATCTGCTATACATAAGCCTTAGACAAGTTGAATAAGATCCAAGATTTCCTCCTTGGATGTTTCAGCAAATAATGTGTGCTTTTAACTGGCTAAGCCAGTATTCAAAGATTTCTAGGCACACAGGTTAATTGCCATAGCAGGTTTCAGATTGCCATGGTGGATTGCCAAGATCTTTTATGGTACAAATCCATCCTCCTGTCCATCGCATCCTTAAAGTTGGCCATGTCTTTGAAAGTTAAAAGGAGTACTTTTGGAGTAAAGGCTGCATCCAGCTTAGATATTTTATACCAAAACTGCTGCTGGGTGTTCCTCAAAACAGGAATCCTTTTATGAGCTTTTGAGGGGAAAAAAAAAAAAAAAAGTTTCTATCTGGGTCATGCCATTCCTTTTTTGCAATAAGCATATGAACCAGAAACCCCCCCAGGCTCACCTAAACCTAAGTACAT